CCCGAGATGACCTCCGACCACCACCTTTCCCACCAGTCCTTCTCTGTTAGTGAATAGGAGGTCAAGCAGGGCACCTCCCCCGGTAGGCTCACTTACCAGCTGTGTCAGGAAGTTATCTTCCACACACTGCAGGAACCTTCTGGACTGTTTCCTTTCTGCTGTGTTGTATTTCCAGCAATTTCTGGTATTTCTGTTAGTTGAAGTCCCCCACAAGAACAAGAGCTCGCGACTGAGAGACTTCCGCCAGCCACTTGTAGTATACTTTGTCAACGTCCTCATCCTGGTCGCGTGGTCTATAACAGATCCCAGCAGGATATCTTCCTTGTTGGCCTTCCCCCTCATCCTCACCCATAAGCACTCAGCCTCATCAGAAGTGTCGAGCTCTGTACAATCAAAACCCTCCCTGACATACGGAGCCCCCCCGCCGCCTCTCCTTCCTTGCCTGTCCCTTCTGAAGGTTTTGTAGCCATCCATTGCAGCACTCCAGTCATGGGAGGCATCCCACCACATTTCTGTGATGGCGACCACATCATAGCCATGCTGCTGTACAATGGCTTCCAGCTCCTCCCGTTTGTTGCCCATGCTGCGTGCATTAGTGTAGATGCACTTGAGCTGGGCTATCGGTTTCACCCCCAGCAATGGGGTGACACCCCCAGGCTCCTCTCTAGTGAGCCTGTTTATATCTCCTCCCCCCTTCAGGCCTAGTTTAAAACCCTCTCAACAAGCCCCGCCAGTTCTTGAGCAAGGATCCTTTTCCCCCTCTGAGAGAGCTGGGCACCATCTGTTGTCAACAGGCCGGTGCCGTGTAAATCTCCCCGTGATCAAAGAACCCCAAGCCCCTCCGATGGCACCAACCTTTGAGCCACGTGTTAACCAGTCTAGTTTTCCTGTTCCTTTCCGTGTTCCTCCCTGCCACTAACGGGATCGAGGAGAACACTACCTGTGCTCCTGATCTTTCAGCCTTTTTTCCCAGTGCCCTGAAGCCCCTTTTGATCAATATGGGGCTTCTCTCTGGCATCTCGTCACTGCCAGCCTGTACAATCAATAGCGGATTGCAATCAGAGGGCCATAACAGACCAGGGAGTCTCTTCACAATGTCCCTGACCCAGGCCCCAGGGAGGCAGCACACTTCCCTGTGGGATGGGTCCGGATGGCATATTGGGCCCTCCGTTCCCTTCAGAAGGGAATCACCCACAACAGTTACCCTCCTTTTTTTCTTAGCACTGGCAGTCCTGATAGGTAGGGGTGACCAACTCTCCCTAGCCAACCCCTTGGATGGACCTTCATCCCCATCCTCATTTGCCTGGCCCTTGATTTCCAGAGCCTCATATCTGTTATGCAAGGACAGCTGAGAAGGTGAGGGAGGCCGGGAGCGAATTTGCCTCCTGCCCCCAGCAGAGACCTTTTTCCATTCCCCACCATCTCTTGGGTCCCTAACTTCTGCTCACTGGCAAGAGGGCAGTGGATCCTCTGCTGAGAGCAGCAGAAATACCTTCATCAGTTTTAAAACTTCTTGGAAACGTGTTCAAACAGCAGAAGTTTTCCAGAAGCCTGAGTGAATAAACAGGTAGTTTTCATTTCCTTCCACTCCAAAGATAATGGAGCCTCATTTGCTCTAACTTAGAAAGAGACATGGACATAGCACAGATCATTCCAAAACTATATTTGAGCTATGGTAATCTTATACATAATCTTGGGATGAAACCTACTCTAATATGTTCCCCAAAGTACCTCCTGTTTTAAAGAACACTATGTGATGTTCTGCCTGCAAATTCATCTTCAACTATTTCAGAGAACAGTTTTCAATTAGTAAAATAAAATAAAAATGTATTTTAACAATAGAAACACTTGCCTGTTTTATTTCTTTTTTAGAAAAATGATGTAGTAGCTGAGGGCAAAGAGTAGTCAGTATTTAAGAAAAAATACTGGTCAGATCAAATTAATCTGCCACTGTTTCAGTGCATGTGAAGATTTGTGTTTGGTCATGATCACAGTAAATTGAGGTCATAATTTCACATTCACTACTGTAACCTGATTTTAACCTAGATCTACCATTTCATGCCATTACAGTCAATGTGCACAATATGTTGTATCACACGACTAAAAAGGAAAAAATAGTCAGAGGTCAAAACTGGGTCCCCTTTCTTTGTAAGATTTGATAACAAGTATCTTATTAACTGCTCTTTTAATTGTCAAAGACATAACAGAAGTGTCTGACTTTCCGTTGATGGCAAAGAGCAAGAAGAGAATGCACGTTTTGTGGCT